AAGGAGGAGGGGGAGCAGTAATAAGCTCGGTAAAAAACCTGGGCTCAGCTGGCCCGGCTGATAGTATCCTGTAAGGGCTCCTGATCCAGGGATACAGGATGAGTTTGTACTCCATGTTAGGAGCGGCTGCACATGGTGTCTGTTCCTCATGTCAGAGGCGGCCATTTCTTTTGGAGCTAAGTCGGCCTGCCACTGAGTAGTGCTCCCAGTCTTAATGGCAAAGGCAGACGCATTCTACTTCACCCAGTCATGATGGTTGTCAGACATCATCAAGGGTCACAACTTGATACCTTAATATGATTGAGTGGAGATAGAAAGAAGAAGACAAAACTAGAAGTTTGTTTTGTATACAAAAGAAACTTGCGTGCTTAAACCCTTTCATTTTATTAACTTGACAAAATGTTGGTATCATATGGTATAAGTAAATGATTATAATGTAAAATATGAACAAAATATATAATGATTTTGTTATATTTTAACAATTTATCTTCATTAATATCATTGCAATAAAATTGGCTAGACTTGAGGAATAGTTTCCTCCTATGCAAGTTGGTATTGAACAAGCCAAATGTCTGTAAAAAATAAATTAAAGATTGGTTGACATTAATTAAATTCTCTTTCAGTTAATTTACTCAAAATCAGTTTTTAAAATTGTTGAAAAAACATTTTTCCTTTTTTTAATCTATTTTCATAATACAGACAACTGAGTAGATAAGAGGAAGTATAATTTTAAAAAAATCTATATTATTCTTTAAAAAGATAAATAAATAAGTTTCGAACTTTTGATGCATTGTAATATTTAAAAGCCAAACATAAATGTAAGGTAACAAATATTAAAAGATGAATACTTACAATTGGAACATGTTCTGCCGGATTTTTGTATAGTTTTTCTGTGAGCGAGTCATCGAAATTGGTCAGATCTTCAACAGCTACTTCCAAGTAGTATATGTTGGTATTATAATGTTGCTTTAACTGATCCCTGCAACAAATTATGTATTTTCCGAGAGATATAGGCAAAAGGGTTACAAAACAAACCTGTAAAGAAACGTGAAATTCCCACGGTGGAATTGCCTGATAAATTCCTTGAAACGTTTTTTAACTTGAACTAAATTACCAGCAGTTTCTTGCCCTTCATTAACAAAATCATCACTGTAAAAAACACCCAAATCGTCAAAACCCGCCATAGAAGACTATTTAGAAATGTACAAAACTATTGTCTTGTAACTGGCGGGAAAATAAGACTGCCAAAACAAATGCCAATAGTGCAAGATCTAATAAATATTTTGTGAATTAATCTGTGGTGTTGATATCTAACAAAATTGAGAAAATATCGCGCAATAATTCATATAAATAGTAAAAACTAAATTCTTGAACGTTTTTTGAATATTTCAAGTAATAAAATTTAATTCATTATTATATTATTCATTGATGTATTCATCATCTTTAGTGTTTTGGAAATTACTTCAACCTGTTTACCTATAGACTTTCCATTTAAATCTCCCTCTTACCTAGTATAAAAAATGAAGCTTATTAGTATTATATTATTTTTAATAGCTTCATTAACTTTCTCAGAGTCCATGCATCTAGAAGGAAAATGGCATACAAATGATTTTTTCAAATTTTTGGTAAAATTTGGATTTCAAAAGACTGATATAAATGATAAAGTAAACACTTTTGGATATATCTATGGAAATATAACATCAAAAAATAATAAAGCACATCAAGCTTTATTAGTTGTGGTTGATAGAGATTTTTTCCTTGATTTTTATCGAAATCGTACGTCTTTTCCCCATGATCCACAGAAAAGGTGTGAGTTAATGTTTACAAAAATTCAAGCTTCTGCGTTTGACAAAGATTGTAATAATAATGGAACATTAGATTTTTTGCGTAATATACCATGTGAAAAAGGACATTTATGTGAGGATGAAGAAGATCCAAAGAGAGTTGTACCTGGCCATCAATTTACTTATGCTGTACAAGATACAATTCAAGAAAGGTAAGTTTTCTCAATTCAATTTAACTATTTATAAATTAATTTTTGACCAATCATATGAATTAAAATATTTTGACAGCTATTTAAACATGTAGTTTTACTTCTTGTTTACCTCAAAGTAATTATTTACTAGGATATCAATAATACAATGTATACAGTAATTATACTTTTTTAATTTTAAAATTTTTGTATATTTTGATAGCAACATATTGAGAGAATGTCTTGCTTCCTTTTCATATCAAACACTTTTAATATTTAAAAAATTCAATGTGTCAAATATTATTATAATTTTGACAAAGTTAGGAAATGTTATGTATATTTTTGTATTCCTCAATATTTTATTCTTTTGAAAAATTGTCAGTTGTCATTGTATATTGTAAGTAAGATAGTCAAAATTTCCTCTCTGTCACAGATAATGATCAATAACTGATAGAATCTTAAGGTTGAACCCAAATATCTTCTTCTTCTTTCTTATCTTCACTCAATCACACTAAGGTATCAAGCTTGTAAAGCTTGAGATTTTGATGGTGTCTGCCGGGGAAGAGTTGAGCTCATCAATGGATGAGTCAATACAGTCAATAATATGTCTTGGGGTTGCAGGCTGAGAATTGCACTTAGTACATAGTGGGAAAACCCTGCAACCATTCTGGAAAGTCATTGTCCGTAGATGACCAGACTTAAGTCTGGAAATCAAAGACTATTGTTCTCTTGGGAGGACAGAACCGGTGTTTGTCCCTCGTGCTCTGTACCAGTCATGTGCAGCATCGGAAAATGATTTTACTTTATCCAATCAGGAACCCAAATATTGTTGTTTTATAAATGAATCTAAGCACAAGGTAATAAGACCAAATCCAAATAAATAGTGTGTACCATTTAGTACTTTTGTCTGAAGATTCTAATCATTTCATCTAACTAACCTGCATACTAATTCTGTAAATATTTAGAATATGTTGGTGTTTTTGGGGGTAAAAAAGAAAAAATGTTATTTAAATATATTTTTAATGTTATCTTTATGCATAGAAACTACAAAAGTAAAATTTAAGAATTAAGAAAAAATACAAAAACAAGAATCAAGAAGGCACTAACTCAGTTGCCAATTGTTAATCATCATATGCTAGCTAATGTTATCATCATCAATTTATATTTATTCATATATCTATATAATTTATTTACATAGAGAAAAATTCTTTGAATTAATATACCTAACAAAATATCTTTCTTTTCTTTCAAAATTTTTGTTTTTCTATAAAGTGCATGTGTCCCTATGGGGACATAGCGCTCTAAGTCAAAATAAAGAATGGTAACAACATTGTTACAGAAACGTCCCACACTATTAATTTTTTTGGATTTGGTTTTATTACCTTGTGTTTCTAATCTATAATCCAAATTGTGACTTATCATAAATGGGAATATTTTCATGCTTCAACCAATCATGTCCGCAATTTTGTATCTTGTACAATGTTAGGATTTTCCCCAATTATCTTTAACTGATATAGAATTAAGAAAAAGGCATCTTTGATAAAGCACAATTTGGATTATAGATTATAATAAAAGAGAAAATAAGACCTAATAAATTATTTGGATTAGGTCTTATTTTCTTTTATTAAAAAGGCATCTTCTTATCGTGCAACTGAAAGTTGCTGATGGCTTGCGCCATCTATCAGAATAAATATCAACTATTCTCGTTGATTTTAAATTATTCCAGAATTGGCCAAATACCCATTCTTGATTAATCAAGAAAAGCTAACCACGGACGCGTTTAGGGCTGTTGGCCCTCATCAGTGTTTGGCAAGCTGTACCTCAACGACCAAAAAATTGGTCATTCAGGCATCCTGATATAGAATTGACAGGTAGACTCGGAACTAGTTCCCAGGTTTTGTTTTGATTATCCTATGGTATAATTATATACAAGGTCATGGAAACTAAACTCATAGATCAAATCTTGGTAGGGTTGGAATATAAGTCCTGTCTTGAGGCTCCCATGTATTCCAAGAGTGTGTAACGTTTCGGTAACAGCGCTGTTACCAAAACATCACATACTATTAATTTGTTTTGGATCAGGTCTTTATTACCTTGTAATGAATACCTTGTTCTCCTCTTAATATATATATATATGAAAAAATGAAAGAAAAAAATAAAAGATAAAAAGATCAGGTGTTGAAATCAAAAATAAAAATGTCATATCCTGACCAGGAGCACATGTGCTTTACAGAAGGTAGAACGCCATCTAGTGGAACAGAAATCAACTAAACATTGATTTAACCTGTTCCCTGATATATGGCCAACCCAATTTCTTGATAAATCAAGAAAAGCCATCCACGAACGTGTTTCGCGCTGTTGGCGCTCGTCAGCATGGAGTAGGTTTTTTTCTTGTATCTATAATCTAAAATACAAATTGTGCCTTATCAACTCATCTATTTAAACTATTATTGATATAGGTGGCATTTTTCAATGCAGATTTTGTTGAATATTGTCTATGATCCAAATTATCGTTGAATTTATTTTTTGTTGAGATTATACCAATACAATTGTAAAAACGACATTTGAAAATTATCCCGCATATGTTTCTTCTGAAAGAAAAATCAAAATTTATTTCAAGGAGAAATAACGATCATTTCCAACCTTAGGGATGAGGTATGAAAGGATAAATTGTGAAGAGTAATGATTTTTTTTTTTAATTATCCCTAATACACGTGGTACAGGCCATGATAATCATGATGAGTAGTTAGCAACTGCTTTTACTGTAAGTACACCACATGTCTACACATGTGAAAAGCAGTTCGACTTTGCACTTATAAATGTGCCAGAGTCCCGTTTGGTTACTTGCGCTCGCTGGTGGGGTTGGACTTTTGCAAGAATCGGGGGCCATTGGAGCATTTTTTTATAAAATCAGAAAAAAGTGTCCAATGCAGGAATCGAACCCGGGTCGTAGTGGTCGAAAACCAAACGGTTTAACCAGCCTTCCACCGACCTCCTAAGAGTAATGATAAACGGAAAAAATAAAAGTGTCCAGGGATGGGAAACGAACCCACAGTGTTCTGCTTACCGGGCAGATGCCATGTCCACTAGGCTACCCTGGACATATTTTTCCGTTCATATATAATACACAAAGTAATTTATAATACAATATAATATAAAGCCACATTATATTATATTATACTAATACAATACTGGGGTAAAACAAAGTGTGGAATGATACAAAAGACTAGCCATATACTATCCAGTTGCTTATTTCTTATTTCATTGCATTTTTTTCCATACTTCAACTGTAATAAGATACAAATTGGATTATAGATTAGCACCATAATGTAATAAGACCAAATCCAAATAAATAAGTGTGTGATGTTTCAGTAACAACGCTGATAAGGCACAATTTTGATTATAGATTATAAACACAAGGTAATAAGACCAAATCCAAATAAATAAATAGTGTGTGACGTTTTGGTAACATCTTCAGACAAGAGTACTGAATGGATACAGACATTCAGTACTCTTGTCTGAAGATGTTACCAAAACGTCACACACTATTTATTTATTTGCATTTGGTCTTATTACCTTGAGTAACAACGCTGTAACCAAAATGTCACACAGTTATTTATTTATATATTTGGATTTGGTCTTATTCATCTTGTGATTCTAATCTATAATCCAATTTGTACCTAATCATTTTTAATAGACTTCATTCAGTACTTTTGTCTGATCACAGTAACATTGCTGTTATCAAAATATCACACACCATTTATTTATTTTTTGGATTTGGTCTTATCTCCTTCATGGTCTTATCTACTTCAACTCTTCTTGTAATATTGGAGATGGCATTACATGATAAAGAATCTAAAAGAGAAAGTTTAAAATTCCCATTACAGTAGAACCTCCCTTAGAGGACACTCTCACTAGTGGACACTTCTAAACAACAGACAGTGTTTATCATCTGAATTGCTCTTCAATTGGAAATTCATTCGTGCTAGCGGATACCTCCAGACAACAGATGTTTTTACAATTGATCATATATCGATTTTACATATAATAGACATTCATGCGCTAGCAGACAATTCAGAAAATCAAAGTTGAATAAAGAATATATTATTTTTAAAATAAAATTAATTTTCAATGTGTGTTCAATGGTATTTAACTAGTTTACTCTAACCCAGGGGTGGCGAACTTGCGGTTTTAAGGCCGCATGTGGCCTTTTCTTACCCAAGTTGTGGCCTTTTCATAAATTCAAAATTATTATTTTTGTTTCGCAGTTTTCAATTACTTTCATAATTTATTGAAGATATCTAATACGAATGTCATATATTATATAATATATATAATATTTATTAAAAAATAAATATGGAAGACTGAAGTTATTTATCCTCGTCTAAGACAACACGCACGAAGAATTCTTTCATGTTTTGGAAGTACATATTGCTGCGAGGCAACATTTTCATACATGGCTCAAATTAAAACCCGCCTAAGAAGTCAAATAAGTGATGTTCATTTGGAAGATCAACTTAAATTACGTACCACGTCAATTGAACCAAATATTTCTTTTTTGACATCCAATAAACAACCACAGAAATCCCATTAAATTTTCTGGATTGTAAAATTAAATGTCAAATTTTTTGGAATTTATTAATTGTATGTCATTTTGAAAAATAAACTATTTAATTGCAAAGAAAATTATGTATTTTAATTTTGTATATACAGGGTCCATTATGAAAGTAATGAGCATTTACTGACAAAATATATTTATTGATCGTAATTTGTGCGAATGTTTAATTTTCTTCAAAATACATTCCTCCTGCATCAATACACTTGCGGAGACGCGTTTGCCACGCCTGAAAGGCACCCTGAAACTCCTCGACAGGATGGCTTCTCAAGAATGTTGTAACATGGTGTTGGATGTGTTTTCCACGGTTTCCCAATGTTTTCCTTTCATCTCTCTCTTGAGTCGCGGAAACAAAAATAAGTCACATGGAGCTAAGTCGGGACTGTAAGGGGGGTGAGGGATCACCGAGGTGTTGCTCCGGGCCAGGAAGTTGGTAATGATGAAGGCTGTGTGGCTGGTGGCATTGTCATGGTGGAGCTTGACCGTGTCTTTAATGTCAGTCCTCACGCGTGCGATCCGGCGTTTCAATCTCCTGAGCACCTCCAGGTAAATAGCTGAGTTTACAGTTTGTCCCTGCGGTACAAACTCACAATGGACTATTCCTCGGATATCAAAGAAGACAATGATCATCGTTTTGATGCGCGACTTGCTCATTCACGCTTTCTTGGGGCGTGGGGATGATTTTGTGTGCCATGCACAGTTCTGCCTTTTCGACTCTGGGTCGTGTTCAAACATCCAGGATTCGTCTCCGGTTACTACAGTGTTCAGAAAGCCTGGTTTATTTTGAATCAAATCCAACAATTCTTGACAGCGCAAAACTCTAAATTCTTTCTGGTCTTGCATCAACACTTTCGGCACAAGCTTCGCACAGACCTTACGCATTTGCAGATCCTCGGTCACTATCCTATTTACCACAAATGTGGACATGTGTAATGTGTCAGCAATTTGCTGGATGCTTAATCGACGGTCGGTACGCAAAACTTCGAGCATACGATCCACGTTCTCGTCAGTTCTGGCCGTTGTTGGGCGTCCTGAATGGGGTTCGTCGGCGACCTCCTCCCGGCCCTCCTTGAACGCCTTGTGCCACTTCCCAGACTGTGATCTTGAAATGCAATCGTCCTTAAAGGCTTTTTGCAGAATCTGGAATGTTTCGGTTGCATTTTTTCCAAGCCTCACGCAAAACTTTATGGCGTATCGTTGTTCAAGCGAACGCTCCATCGCGCTATGTTACAAAAGTTGAAAACACACTTTAAGCGGAGGCATGTATCTCCCCTCACACTGCTCGAACTCAACTGACGACCGGATGGATTGAAAGGGCATATCCCTCCAGCACATTTCCCACGGTTTTACCATGCTGCCATCTATCGTCGCGTCACAATAACATTATGCTCATTACTTTTATAATGGACCCTGTAAGTCCCTTTAATTAAATCGTACATAAATATATATGGATGCGGCCTTCTCAAAAATGGTAAAATGAAAATTGGCCTTCTAATATAAAAAGGTTCGCCACCCCCTGCTCTAACCATTTACTAAGTTAAGAAAAAAGGCATCTCCTGATTGTGCAACTAAAAGTTTCTGATGGCTTGTGCCATCTATTGGAATAAATTTCAATTATTGAGTAAAATCAATCATTCCTCCAGGGAAGAGTGTCTTCTTCAAAAACATTTTTATTGTTCTCTAGCTTTCGGGCACGTACGCCCTTCTACAGGAGAAAACATGGTATAATGATACGCCAATAGAACACGAGTTAAATATAATCGGATACTATTTTACATATTTTTATGAAGATATAAAAATATTATTTTTTACATATTAACTATTGAGATAAAATATTTTAAAAATATATATCTCTAGTAAGAGTACAAACAAATGAATAAATATAGGCCACCAGAAAAAACCAAGGAAGCAAGGAATACATAGTTAGGTTGTAGTTATCATTATTAGGAGATGTCTACTGAGTTTCTACTGTGATTAGTAACTCTCTGGTAAGAAGACACCTCTTTGTAGAGGACACTTTGGCTCTGCAACTAGGTATTGTTCTTTACAGGGAGGTTCTACTGTAATTAGCAACTCTCTGGTAAGAGGACACCTCTCTATAATGGACACTTTGGCTCTGCAACTAGGTGTTGTTCTTTACAGGGAGGTTCTACTGTAATTAGTAACTCTCTGGTAAGAAGACACCTCACTCTAAAAGACACTTTGGCTTTGCAACTAGGTGTTGTCCTTTACAGGAAGGTTCTACTGTAATTAGTAACTCTCTGGTAAGAAGACACCTCTCTAATAAAGGACACTTTGGCTCTGCAACTCAGTGCTGTCCTTTACAGGGAGGTTATACTGTAATTAGTAACTCTCTGGTAAGAAGACACCTCACTCTAAAAGACACTTTGGCTCTGCAACTCGGTGCTGTCCTTTACAGGGAGGTTATACTGTAATTAGTAACTCTCTGGTAAGAAGACACCTCACTCTAAAAGACACTTTGGCTTTGCAACTAGGTGTTGTCCTTTACAGGAAGGTTCTACTGTAATTAGTAACTCTCTGGTAAGAAGACACCTCTCTAATAAAGGACACTTTGGCTTTGCAACTAGGTGTTGTCCTTTACAGGGAGGTTATACTGTAATTAGTAACTCTCTGGTAAGAAGACACCTCTCTATAATGGACACTGGCTTTGCAACTAGGTATTGTTCTTTAGAGAGAGGTTCTATTGAAATTAGCAACTCTCTGGTAAGAAGACACCTCTCTAATAAAGGACACTTTGGCTCTGTAACTAGGTGTTGTCCTTTACAGAGGTGTTCTACTGTAATTAGCAACTCTGGTAAGAGGACATTTTTCTTTAGAGGACACTTTGTCTCTGAAACTAGGTATTGTCTTTTACAGGGAGGTTCTACTGTAATTAGTAACTCTCTGGCAAGAGGACACCTCTCTGTAGAAGACACTTTTGCTTTGCAACTAGGTATTGTCCTTTAGAGACAGGTTCTACTGTAATTAGCAACTCTCTGGTAAGAGGACACCTCTCTATAATGGACACTTTGGCTCTGCAACTAGGTGTTTTCCTTTACAGAGAGGTTCTACTGTAATTAATAACATACTGGTAAGAGGACACCTCTCTATAAAGGACACTTTAGAGAGAGGTTCTACTGTAATTTACAACTCTTCGGTAAAAGGACACCTTTCTGAAAAGGACAGTTTGGCTTTGCAACTAGATGTTGTCCTTTAGAAAGAGGTTCTACTGTAATTAGCAACTCTCTGGTAAGAAGACACCTCACTCTAAAAGACACTTTGGCTCTGCTATTAGGTGTTGTCCTTTACAGGGAGGTTCTACTGTAATTAGCAACTCTCTGGTAAGAAGACACCTCTCTAATAAAGGACACTTTGGCTTTGCATCAGGTATTATTCTTTAGAAAGAGGTTCTACTGTAATTAGCAACTCTCTGGTAAGAAGACACCTCTCTAATAAAGGACACTTTGGCTCTGCAACTAGGTATTA